ACTCCTGTAGTCACATCATCCCTACCTCCAATGGACTGATAATAAAGATTCAGACAGAAAGTAGGACATGTCTTTGTGATCATTCATCAAGAATGATAGATAAATCCCTTTGAGAGCTAAATCAGCCAACAAAATGAAGCAAAATGTATAACCACATGTGAAGTGTAGCCAGATTCACCTTTCACCTTCCCACCAGCTTGCAGGAATCCACTGATCCATCGATCTTCAATGCCCAGAAGGCTTTCAACTTGTATTCCCAACATGGGATTTCTCTGCTGCTCTGGCTTCAGGGATGGGTGAAGTACAAACTCATAAATCTGTTTGAGCTAACAGCCATTGGACTATTTTTTGCAATAATTTTTAGTGAAATATATACGTCATACTTTCAAATTTGTTATGATCAGTATTATTGAGGCTGTGGCACTTTCCTACCCTAAATATTCTAGATCAGCCTTTCTCAACCAGGGTGCCCAGGCACCCTGGGGTGCCTTGAGGTTTCTTCAGGGGTGCCTTGGCAAAATATCTACAAATTATCCAAAACTTGTATATAAGCCAGCGCGTTGAACAAGCCTACCTTTTAGTTACAGAAAACCACAGATTTTCATTGGGCACCATTGTGGCCTGCTAGTCTCTGGCATCCTGACAACCAATGACATCATGAGTTGATAAGGAGGATGTCAGTTGTCTGCACAGCATCCTATTTTTGACCGTCCCCTGTCCCTCTCCATCAGTGCTGGGGTCACATTAGCTCAGTGATGGTGAAAATCTGAGGGAGAGGAGAAACACTGGAATACTAGTCAGTACCAGTGTGTTAAATTTAATTTGCTTTGGAAGAATAAATCACCTCTAAAGTTGGGTGTCCTATGTGTGTGGATGTTGCTGCGTTATATAAAATTAATTTAATAGTTTTTTACATTTTAGAATGGGGTGCCTCAAGACTCTCCATAATTTTAAAGGTGAGCGGGGACTGGAGAGAGAGAACTGAGCAGCAGAGGGTCAGCAGAGCTGGAGAACTTGAGAAGGAGAAACTAGCAGATGTCACACATGATGCACAGCGTGGGAGCAATATATTAGCGGGAGGTAAGCAAGGAACAGAGAGAGAGGACGATCAGCAAACAAGAGGATCTGCAAAGCTGGGGGTTACTACTGAGTGAGGGATCAGCAGAGCTGGGGGTTACTACTGAGTGAGGGATCAGCAGAGCTGGGGGTTACTACTGAATGAGGGATCAGCAGAGCTGGGGGTTACTACTGAGTGAGGGATCAGCAGAGCTGGGGGTTACTACTGATTGCGGCATCAGCAAAGCTTGTGGCACTACTGAGTGGGGTATCAGCAGAGCTGGAGTACTACTGAGCGGGGGATCTGCTGAATGAGGATACTAAAACTGGGGATTTGCTGAACAATGGTTCTAATAAGCTGGAGATCTGCTGAACGAAGTTACTAATGCGTTGGGCTCCTGCTGAGTGTGGGTACTACTGAGCCAGGGTTCTACTGGACCCCTTTAAAACAAAAAGAAAAATCAACACACACAGGGCATTTGCCAAGCTTCATTAAATCGTAAAAAAAAAAAATCACAGAAGCATCACCAAAGCATCAAAAACACATCCAAAAAGCATGTTGAAGCAGTAGGCGCTTAAATATATGATAAAGTCGAAACAAGTGTAAATGAGAACCTAGACAAATACCACTTTCAAGCTGTTTGACTCTATTATCATCAGAGTAGGGATGATGAGGTTATGTGAGGGTTTATTTGACAATTTTTAATTGTTTCACCTGTGCAGTCCTAGGAATCTACTATGCAAAAGATACTTAAAAATAGTAAAAAAGTATTCTTCATTTAAGGTTTTTGTCTATTTGGGTAATACCCTAAGCATTCCTTAAGCATTTTTATTATTGCATATTTAATTTCTTTTCACATCTGGGTATTGCAGTTTTGTTGTATTTTGTTGCTTTTTCTATCAAGATATGTACTACATAAGTACCTTATATTTCTCGTCTAGTATAGAGTATTTAGACACTTCCAGAGGAGGGGGTTATGACATGCAAAGAGGGACAGGGCTGTTCTAGAAAAACAACAGAGGCTAGTCAAAGCAAAATTAAATGCACATGGAAAGTGAATACAAAAAAAAAAAATTATATAAGAAAATACAAGTCAGCATTTAAAACATTTACATCTATATGTGCTTTTGCTGCATTTTTTTTAAGTTGGTGGCAGAGTCTCTAAATGTTTTTTGGTCAGTAACAGACATTATTAACTCTTTTACTGCTGCAGCTGCCAGGAGTGTGTATAAATCTGACAGGCCAATTGTTGGCTGTCAGATGGGAGTGATCTGGTGGTAGCATTTCTACACCCTCCCTCCCATTACTGCCAGTCCACCCTCCCACCCAGCATGCCCCTGCCATGTTTCCCACGCACCCACAGGCAGATCCAGCAAGGCAAATGCCATGGGGTAGAGGGGAGAAAGCTCAAAAAATGCTGTAAAAAAAATTTTTTAGTAGCATTTAAGAGCATTAGCAATTTATTAGCATTTTTACATGTAGGAAAAAAAAAAAAGCTAGAAAAAAAAAGCGGTTAGTAGTGTATTAGTAGCATTTGGGAGCATTCAGCATTTTTTTCTGCTGGAAAAATGCTCCGAAAAAAAAACTCTACAAAAACTATTTTGAGCTGAAGCTCAAAAAACACAAATAGCCTAAGTAGTGTGCATGGACACAGGATAACACTATTCAGCTACTAGGAACAGATAAAAAAAATGCTATTATAACAGCTTCTAGGGGCTTAAGAAAACACCAGTGTGCATGGAGCCTGAGACCAATAATTCTACAGTAAATTGAAAAAGTATTCACACCCCTTGAAATTTTCCACATTTTGTCATGTTACAACCAAAAACGTAAATGTATTTTATTGGGAATTTATGTGATCGACCAACACAAAGTGGCACATAATTGTGAAGCGGAAGGAAAATGATAAATGGTTTTCTAAATTTTTACAAATAAATATCTGAAAAGTGTGGCATGCAATTGTATTCAGCTCTCTTTACTCGGATACCCTTAACTAAAATCTAGTGGAACCAATTGCCTTCAGAAATCACCCGATTAGTAAATACAGTCCACCTGTGTGTAATTTGATCTCAGTACAAATACAGCTGTTCTGTGAAGCCCTCAGAGGTTTGTTAGAGAACATTAGTGAACAAAAAGCATCATGAAGGCCAAGGAACACACCAGACAGGTCAGGGATAATGTTGTGGAGAAGTTTAAAGCAAGGTTAGGTTATAAAAAAAAATGTCCCAAGCTTTGAACATCTCACACGGCACTGTTCAATTCATCATCTGAAAATGGAAAGAGTATGGCACAACTGTAAACCTACCAAGACATGGATGTCCACCTAAACTGACAGGCCGGGCAAGGAGTACATTAATCAGAGAAGCAGCCAAGAGGTCCATGGTAACTCTGGAGGAGCTGCAGATATCCACAGCTCAGGTGGGAGAATCTGTCCACAGGACAACTATTAGTCATCCACTACACAAATCTGGCCTTTATGGAAGAGTGGAAAGAAGAAAGCCATTGTTGCAAGAAAGCAATAAGAAGTCCCATTTGCAGTTTGCGAGAAGCTATCTGGAGGACACAGCAAACATGTGGAAGAAGGTGCTCTGGTAAGATGAGACTAAAAAAAAACACCCCACTGTGAAAAATGATGGTGTCAGTATCAGGTTGTGGGGATGCTTTTAGCAGGCACAGGGAGGCTGGTTAGAGTTGATGGGAAGATGGATGGAGCCAAATACAGGGCAATCTTAGAAGAAAACCTGTTCGAGTCTGCAAAAGACTTAAAATTGATGTGGAGGTTCCCCTTCCATCAGGACAATGACCCTAAATATACAGCCAGAGCTACAATGGAACGGTTTAGATCAAACAATATTCATGTGTTAGAATGGCCCAGTCAAAGTCCGGACCTAAATCCAATTGAGAATCTGTGGCAAGACTTGAAATTTGCTGTTCAAAGACACTCTCCATCCAATCTGACAGAGCTTGAGCTATTTTGCAAAGAAGAATGGGCAAAAAATGTCCCTCTCTAGATGTGCAAAGCTGGTAGAGACATCCCCAAAAAGACTTGCAGCTGTAATTGCAGTGAAAGGTGGTTCTACAAAGTATTGACTCAGGGGGGCTGAATACAAATGCACGCCACACTTTGCAGATACTTATTTGTAAAAAATTGTGAAAACCATTTATCATTTTCCTTCCACTTCACAATTATGTGCCACTTTGTGTTGGTCTATCACATAAAATCCCAATAAAATACATTTACGTTTTTGGTTGTAACATGACAAAATGTGGAAACTTTCAAGGGGTATGAATACTTTTACAAGGCACTGTAAGCCCATTATTAACGGATAAGTGATGCCCTGTAGGATCAAATGTAGGGTATTGATGTTTGCTGCACACAAGTGCATGCAATTTTAAGGTATGACATGTTGGGCATCTATTTACTTGAAGCAAGCTCATCTTTTATATTTTACCAATAAATTTGTATTTTTTTGTTTGTGTGCCCTAAAATTATCTTTGTTGTATTTTTTAATACTGAAATCTTGCTTTTCCTAAACTTATGCACTATATTGCATAGCATAAAAACTTGGAACTACCACAGTTTTATTCTCTAGAAAATATTTACTATTTCGGGGTTTTATGTAATCTCCAGGCCTAAAGTTATTTTTTTTTTAACCACCTCCCGTCCGGCCGCTGTATATAAACGGTCGGACGGTGGCACTGCAGGGTCGGGTGGCCGTCTATAAACGGCCTCCCCCGCACCCTGCTTGTGCGCGCTCCCTGGGAGCGCGCAGCACCGCAATCCAGTGCCCGCTGTGTCCTCCGGACACAGTGAAACACCAATCGTCGGACGGGACCTCTGTACGAGGTCCCGATCATGTGATCACTGATTGGCCAATCAGTGATCACATGCAAAGTAGTAAGCAAGATGTCACTTCTGACATCATTGCTTACTACGTGTGAAATCTGTGAATGATCACAGAGGTCACATGGTACAAGGCTATTCACAAAAGCCTTGTACCATGTGACAAGCTGTGACCAATCACAGCTCACTCAGTACTTCTCAATGAGTGCAAGAATGCACACACAGAGAGAAAGATAAATGATTGCTTTTACATCCTATATGGGTGTAAAAGCAATCAGTGTAAAAAAAAAAAAAAAAAAAAAAAAAAAAAAAAAAAAAATCTTCATCACCCCCCACAAGTAGTACAGTGTCACCATGGTGACACTGTACTGCTAGGGTGACAGTACGTAAAAAAATAAAATAAAAAATAATATAAAAAATTAAATAAAAATGTAAAAAAAAATGTTTAAAAATTATAATTTTTTGGATTTTTTTTTTTTTTTTTACTAAAAAGATAACGGAATAAATTTTGGCTAAGATTTATGATGAAATATTATTTATTTGAAAACTTTTATTAAAAAAAACACTTTTTTCCAAAATTTTTGGACATTTCATTTACATAGCAAAAAAAATACAAATCCCAGTGGTGAATAAATACCACCAAAATAAAGCTTTATCTGTCTCAAAAAAATGGTAAAAAATTCATTTGGGTACAGTGTTGCATGACCGCGCAATTGTCATTCAAAATGTGATAGCGCTAAAAGCTGAAAATTGCCCTGGTCAGGAAGGGGGTAAAAGTGTCCGGACTGGAAGTGGTTAAAGTGTGCAAAAAAAAAAAAGACAAAAACGGTTCTGACAGGGAAAGGGTGAAGCTAAGTGGGTCAGCAGATCAACCGAATAAGTAGCATTTTCCAAAGGTCATCATGGTCAGCCCCTGTATTTTTCACACGTCAGGTTTACCTAAAGGATTTTACCTTCTTCCCAACAATATACAAAGCATGTATGTATGATGTAAAAAATTTCCTGTATTTTTAATCTATCTGGGATTATAATAAAGATGGGAGATCTCACATCTACTGCCAAACTGAGAGATCTGTTCTTTTATGTTTGGTCTAGTAATATGAGCATAGCTATAAAATGAATGTTTATGGTTTGAAGCAAACCTATGACTTGCCAATGTAGGACAAAAAGACAGACTGGCTTTAAAGTGGAACTTTACCTATAACTACTTGATAAAAAATAATGTTCGTTAGCAAGGAACATACATTCCACATTAATAATTAAAGTGATTGTAAACCCTCACCTAGTAAAAAAAAACAGTTCAAAATGGAAATGAAAGGAAAAATATTTATGTATATAAAAACCATTATAAATAATTTATTTTCCTTTTTCATAAGTGATCACATACCCCCTGTTCTCAGTTGCATAAGAGCAAAGGGAGGAGAAACAGGGGATGTGTCAGGACAAATCTGATCATTGGAGGAGAGCAGGCTAAGTTCCCAGCATAGCTAGAGAGCTGACCATGCTGTGCTCTTATACCTAGTGTGGTCAGTTTTTAATAGGAACGCAGAGGAACTGGCACGACACCAGGGATTTCACACAAGAGAAGAAATAGAAAGAGAACAGGATACTTTTTCATATAAGTACATGGTACAGTAGGCGCATATCAGGAATATAAAATGTTGGATTTACATATTCTTTAAAGCGGAAACTCTACCCATAACATCTTGATAAAAAAAAAATAATGTTCTTTAGCAAAGAACATACATTACACATTAATAATTATGCTGCCAATAGTAGTGTGTGCTGTAAATTGCATCCAGCATTGTTCCCGTTTCTTCTTGCTGGAGAACGCCATTTTGCTGAAGTCCAGATCCCCTGAGGTGCAGTAAATCTTTAGGCTGTCAGCAGATTGGCCTCTATTTTCGACACAGTGCTGGAGAATAGAAGGCAACTGAGCATGTGCAGAGCAGGGTGAGACAGTGTATTACTGTATTTTAAACAATATAGGCACTTATTTTTAATGTTTTACATAGCTATACCTACAAAAGGGGCCAGCCTGACGTAATCTAGCAGGACTTTAATTTTCTCATTAAAGCTCCACTTTAATTCTACCCTCCCCAGTAGCACATATTTTCACCTTTCCTTTACTCCTTTGACACTTCAAAGGGCATGAAAGTGAACCTACTGCTTCGCCCTTAGCCCTGTTTTGTCCTTATGCTTAACCTCCCTAGCGGTCGGATTATGTCCATATTTCTGTGCTCAAAGCGGTACATTTTTTTGCTTGGAAATATGAATTTTTTTTATTGTAGGCCTGTAATTTTTAGGAAAAACTCACTGAAATCTGTCCGAACAAGAGTCTAGTAAACATCCCGGGTAGGATAAAACTTGAAACACGAAATCACAAATTATAATTTAGTAAATAATCATAAAAAATAATAATATAATAATAATACATTTTATTCAATAATATAATCAACCCAAAAACACTGAAATTTGAAGTATAGCGCCAAGTTCGCACATCACTGAACAAAGTCGCAAAATCGTTTTCAGTGTCTGATGATGAATTTCCCCACGAATCATTATCACTCAATTCTGCAAGCAGTTCTAATTTACTTTCGCTGTTCTCTAGCTGGTCTAAAACCGCTTATTGACCTAAAGGGACGCTTTTTGGACACCATGGACTTTTCTCAGTTTCCAGGCAGAAAGAACAGTAAAAATGCAGGCAGGGCACAGGACAAAGCACTCGGGACAAAATGTATGTGAAATGGTTTGATACAGTAATGTCATACTATGTGATTTTAGTGAATGTCACTTTGTGTCATTTTCAAATTTCCCGCTGTTCCGTCCCCGTACGTCCCGACGCTTGCAGGGGACGGAACCCATATGACAGATGCCGGCATCGCGCCAGATTACATTGCCGGGACACTGCAGGAGGGACATCGCAGGAGCGCAGGACAAGGTAAGAGATCGAGGGACCCCGGAGCAGCGCCGCATGTTAGGCCCGAGTGTAGCTCGTGGTTACCGCTTGTGGTACTGAAACTTTACCCCGAGCTACACTTGGGAATACCGTCAGGGAGGCTACAGGCCAAGTTCACCTTTCTGAACATGTTACACCCCTGCGTTGTAACATGCACAGCTGGTCATCCCCGCCCTGACATCGGGTGGGTGATCCTCTTCCTACACTCACTGCAAAACAAAAACAGCGTGGATGTGCAGAACTCCACCCACATCATTCATTCACAGAGTTCTATGAATAAAGTACAAGTCCCATTTGCCACTGCAACAGATGGTTTGTAGTTCTCAATGAACTATGAGGGTGCTGGTGAGCATCCTCGTAGCCCATTGATTCTTTCTGCAGTTATTTAACTGTCTGCCTGTATGGGGGGTAGGGGCAGACAGATTTACTGACAGTCTGCAGGAGCCTGACACTGCACCTGTGATCTGATGATCCTGGGTGCAATGCTCTGCAGGCTCCTAAGAAGAAAAAAAAACATATATATATTATTATTACAGATAGTCACATAGCGCTGTCAATTTATGCAGCGCTTTACATACACTATATTGCCAAACGTATTGGGACACCTGCCTTTACACACACATGAACGTGAATGGCATCCCAGTCTTAGTCCGTAGGGTTCAATATTGAGTTGGCCCACCCTTTGCAGCTATAACAGCTTCAACTCTTCTGGGAAGGCTGTCCACAAGGTTTAGGAGTGTCTATGGGAATGTTTGACCATTCTTCCAAAAACGCATTTGTGAAGTCAGGCATTGATGTTGGATGAGAAGGCCTGGCTCACAGTCTCAGCTCTAATTTATCCCAAAGGTGTTCTATTGGGTTGAAGTCAGGACTCTGTGCAGGCCAGTCAAGTTCCTCCACCCCAAACTCGCTCATCCATGTCTTTATGGACCTCTTGCTTTGTGCACTGGTGCGCAGTCATGTTGGAACAGGAAGGGGCCATCCCCAAACTGTTCTCACAAAGTTGGGAGCATGAAATTGTCCAAAATGTCTTGGTATGCTGACGCCTTAAGAGTTCCCACACCATAATCCCCCACCTCCACCAACCTTTACAATTGACACAAGACCGTTCTCCTGGCAACCGCCAAACAGACAGGTCCATTGAATTGTCAGATAGAGAAACATGATTCGTCCTTCCAGAGAACACATCTCCACTGCTCTAGAGTCCAGTGGCGGTGTGCTTAACATCCGATGCTTTGCATTGCACTTGGTGATGTAAGGCTTGGATGCAGCTGCTCGGCCATAGAAACCCATTCCATGAAGCTCTCTACGCACTGTTGTTGTGCTAATCTGAAGAACACATGAAGTTTGGAGGTCTTTAGCTATTCACTCTACAGACAGCTGGCAACCTCTGCGCAATGTGTGCTTCAGCATGTGCTGATCCCGCTCTGTCATTTTTCGTGGCTAAGTTGCTGTTGTTCCCAGTTGCTTCCACTTTGTTATAAAACCACTAACAGTTGACCGTGGAATATTTAGTAGCAAGGAAATGTCCCATATGGACTTATTGCACAGGTGGCAACCTATCACGGTACCACGTTTGAATTCTCTGAGCTCCTGAGAGTGACCCATTCTTTCACAAATGTTTGTAGAAGCAGTCTGCATGCCTAGGTGCTTGATTTTATAGCCCTGTGGCCATGGAGATGATTGGAATACCTGAATCCAATGATTTGGAAAGGTGTTCCAATACTTTTGGCAATATAATGTATATATATATTGTACATTCACATTAGTCCCTAACCCTCAAGGGGTGTATAATCTAAGGTCCCTAACTCACATTCATACATACACATACTAGGGCCAATTTAGACAGGAGCCAATTAACCTACCAGCATGTCTTTGGAATGTGGGAAAAGACTGGAGTACCCAGAGAAAGCCCACGCAGACACAATCCTAATGCTAACCACTTAGCCACTGTATACATGCACAGTTCTTTACCTGCAAAAAATATGTGTGTGTGTGTATATATATATATATATATATATATATATATATATATATTTTTTTTTTTTTTTTTTTTTTTAAAATAGAAGTGAACTTATCCTTTTAACGCGTAGTACCATGTCCACTTTAAAAGTCTACATTATATACAAAAAGATGACAACATCTGGATTCCAGATCTGATATAAAAAGCAAACTTGGCACAATTACAATTGAGCTGGTAACAGAAAGACATAAAATACAAAAGTACATAGGAGTTCCAATGCTAC